TTGACCTCCTGATTATGGGTTCATCAGCACCTGAAACCACATGAGGCAGAAGAAACTTCCAGCCTGATACCTGACTCACAGATTTGAGGTTTGCCAGTTTCCACAACTACACAAGTCATTTCCTTGATATAAATCTCTGTGTGTGTATATTCTCCACTGGTTTTGTTTCTCTAGAGAATCTAGCCTAAGACAGGAGTCATATTACAACATATTTGTTTGTTTATCACTACGCTCTTTCCATGCCAGTAAAGATACTTTTCTTTTTATTTAGCTATTAGTATTTGGTGGAAGGATATATCATAGCTTGTCTACCCTTTGCCTTATTTTTAAAGTCACAAATATTTGTGGAGTGACTAATTTTTATAAGGCACCATTTAAAAACAACAACAATATGATATTGGATATCACGATATTTCTTATTGTTAAGTGCTGTTGAGTTGGTTCCAATTCATAGCGACCCTGTATGGGGTTTCTAAGGCTTTAAATCTGCTCGAGTGGAAAGATCCATCTTTCTCGCTTGGAGCAACTGGCAGGTTCAAACCATGGACCTTGTGGTTCACAGTCTAGTGCTTATTGTAGAGGGTTCCAAAGTAGCCACAATAAAGGGGATTAATATTATTGAAGCAGAAACTTCTGGTCTGATAGTTATACTATAAAGGACAAAGTAAATTACTTAAAAACCTATAAAACAAAATTAATTATAATGTCATAGGATGTGAGAAATCTGTTATAAATAGGGTGTTTTAATTCCCAGAGTTTGGCAACTTTTAGACATTTAAGTGGTTACGAATCGGGCTGCGAACCTTAAGGTCAGCGGTTCGAAACTACCAGCCGCTCCGCGGGAGAAAGATGAGGCTTTCTACTCCCGTAAGGATTTACACCCTCGGAAACCCTGTACAGGGTCGCTATGGGTCGGAACCGACTCGACGGCACTTAACAACAACAACAATATGATGACAACCTCACAGAATAGGTATCGTTCTGTCAAAATTCGATAGCATTTAATAAACCTGCTGCTTATTTCAGCATTGGCAGTTACCTTTGCATTAGGCAAATCTGCTGCACAGGACTCTTTAAAGTGTTCAAGAGCAAAAATGTCAGTTTGAGGATTAAGGTGTGCCTGACTCTAGCCACAGTATTTTCAATAGCTTCATATGCATATGAAAGTAGGACAATGAATAAGAAAGACTGTAGAAGTTGAGCTGAGGTGTAGTTAGTGTTGGAGGAGAATATTAAAAGTGCCACGGGCTATCAGAAGAACAAACCAATCTGTGTTGGAAGAAGTACAGCCAGAATGCTCCTTAGAAACCAGGATGGCCAGACTCTCTCTCATACTTTGGACATATTATCAGGAGAAACCAGCTTCTAGAGAAGGACATAATGTTTGGAAAAAGAGGACGACCCCCAACAAGATGGACTGGCAGAGTGGAAGCAGCAATGGGGTTAAGGGTACGAACGATTGTGAGGTTGGTGCAGTGTTTCGTTGTGGTATACAGAAGGTCACTATGAGTCGCTACCGACTTGATGGTACCTAACAACAACATAGTATCCCATGCCTCTCAAAGGCAGGGGACTGGGTCTTAATTTCTAACAACTGCAATAAAGATTAACTGAAACGTATAAAATCTTGGGTCTATGTGCCTCCCTATTTTCAACTATATTTTTCAATTCCATTTGTTAATCTTGATGTGTACTTAAAGACATAAACTATTTTCAGTCCATGTTTCAGCTATTATTGTTGTCTTGGCAGGTATTCCAACTCATGGTGATCCCATGTGTACACATAGAGTAGAACTGATACTTTTCAAAGCTATAGGCTCTTGGAAGCAGATTTCCATGCTTTTCTTCTGACATGTCTCTGGGTAAGTTCAAACAGCTAGTAATTGAACACTTAGCCACTTGTACCATCCAAGGCCTTCTATGTTTCTGTTAATCATATAGTTTTTTATTTAAAATTCTGGTCATTAAAAAGGGAACCCACAGGATGGGAAAAAATATTTTGCAATGACACATCACACAAGGGACTCATTTCTAAAATATATAGGAAACTACAACACCTCTACAAGAAAAAGACAAACAACCCAATTAAAAAATGGGCATAGGACATGAACAGACACTTCACCAAGGAAGCAATCCGGGCAGACAACAAACATATGAAGAAATGTTCACGATCACAAGCCATTAGAGAGATGCAAATCAAAACAACAATGAGATATCATCTCACACCACCATCACCACCAACGATCCAAAAAGTAGAGGACAATAAATGCTGGCAGGGATGTGGCGAGACTGGGACACTCCTGCATTGCTGGTGGGACTGCAAAATGGTCGAACCTCTCTGGAAAGCAATATGGTGCTTCCTCAGAAGGTTGCAAATAGAAATACCTTATGATCCAGCAATTCCTCTACTTGGTATTTAACCATAAGAAAAACAGCTGTAACACGAGAAGATATGTGCACACCAATGTTCATAGCAACACTATTAACAATAAAATTCTGGTCATAAAACTCGTACTCAAATTTATTTGGGGGCTGTGCCAATCAGCCAAAACTTAGGTAACACCTCTGAGGTGCGAGGAGCTAGGAAGTCACATTCTTGTCCTAGGATTTTCAGTACTTTTTAAAAACTTGTGTTTTGGGATTTTCCTAATTAACTGGTCATTAGGTAATATTTTAGGGGGGTAAATCCTAAAAATTTAATACTCATTGCTTCATGTCCAGTTATTGTTGTTCAATGCCGTGGGTTCGGACTCCTAGGAACCCTGTGTAGGGTTTTTGAAGTTTTAAATCTTCCTGGGAGCAGAAAGCCTCATCTTTCTCCCATGAAGTCCAGTAGATGGCACCAAATACCTTTTGAATTTCTTCAAGATCCTAATTGCTGACTGCTACCAGGGAACATCCTTTAGTTTAATTCTCCGATTTTACATAACTAAAGTATTTTTGTTACATCTGTTGGAGTTTAAATTTTAATTTGCCATCTTTTGACTTTACATTTTAGCCTTTCCGCGCTTTGTTTTATATGTATCCTTTTAATCAGTGATTCTAGGTAAAGGGTTGCATTCTAGTGGTTTCCAACTCATGGAGCCCCCACCCCAACCCTCACCCCCCACCCTACTCCCACCTCGGGACAGATTGAAACTGTTGTATCAGGTTTTCAAGGCATTGATCTTTCAGAAGCAGATCACAGGTGCCTCTGGGTGTGTTCTGGATTCCAAACTTTCAGCTGATTGTTTTTTTGCACCACTCAGGGACAACTGGGGAGGGGTGTAATATTGAAATACGGATAGGGAGAGTCCGAAGAAAGAGATGTGTTCAATTGATCATTATTAAATTAGGGGAAATATAAAATCATAGAGAGTACAAAGTGTTCAGGGTGAATACTTAATTAGCATTTTCATAAGGAACCAGATTTTAGATTCAACTATCAAAATCAGAAAATGTGTTTCCTATTCGTTCGATGGCACTTAACAACAACAATTTGTAAAGCATGGCTTACTACATGTCTATCTACTCATTAACTGAAATTACTTCACTGTAATAGTTTTGGCAAGTTATCAATTTCCCACCATAATTACATTTACGCAGTTTTCTTTCTTTTTCTCCAACGTTTATTGGTGTTGGTGTCTTGTAACTCAATCTGGAAGTTTGTTTTTAACTGTCTTATTTTAGTACAACCGGTATATGGCTTCCAGATGAGAGGGACTTAGGTTTCGTATTCTCCTTAGAACTGACTGGCGATCTAGGAGTCACACTGGCAGGAACATCATCTGCACACTGTAGATAACACAGCTTACTTCATGGGGTGAGAGATAAAGTAGGTAGGTAAATTATCTAACACTTGTATCCCAGAATCTTAAGCTTAAAAAAACACCAAACGACTCTCTGAAATATGGTCATGCTTTACTCATTTGTATTTATCCCAAACTCTCTCTCTCTCTCTCTCTCACACACACACACAATTTTCTCTTTCGCTAGAATTAATAGGGAGGGAAAGACCCGAGAATCTCGGGGCTCAACGTTATTTTGTGGATTCATGAACTTTTTAAAATCAACTTGTGGGAGGGCATTATTAATTACACTATCGCTTCCCAAAAGGCAAAAAAAAAAAAATTCCTTTGGAAAGGACCTCAGTGCTGCATACCGCAGCTTTCGAATGAGGAAAAATAAGCTGGGCGGCGAGCGTTTATTCTGAGCCAGGCTGTTTTCTTCAAGCGCCACAGCCACGTGGCGCCGCGGGAACCAGGGACCCAGCGGCCGCTCTCCCTTCAGGAGGATACGAGGTGGTGTCCTCGGCAACCTGTGTCCGGGGAAACTGAGACGGACAGCGAGTCCCGGCGTGGAGCAGTGCCCGCCCGTCACTCAAGGGACTCCAGTCCTACAAATCTCCGGTATTTTTCCCCAGGGACCAGGTCCCGCAACAGGTCCGAGGCGGGGCTGGGCGGGGCAGGGTGGAGCCCGGCTCTACGAAGGCCGGTGAACCAGCACCGCCCAGCGCCTGGCCCTCACAACCAATGCCAGACCCGGGGAGGAGTAGCCGGGTCGCTTACCTCTAGCCACTCAGGGCTCGCTGGGCCTTGAGAAAGGTGACATAATCATAGTTGGGAGGTTTCAAAAGGCTCCACCAATAGAAAATAGGCGAAGTAGCTTGCCTTCTGTAGCTGTTGGCCAATACTAACAAAGCAAAAGGGGGCTGGGTTGTTGGAATAGAACCAATAAAAAATAGGGAAGGAGCACGAGGCGGAGTTGCGAATCCTGTCACCAATTGGAGAGAGGGGGTGGAGCCCGAGCCTTGTCAAGTATGCCCAACCAGAGATAGAAGCGGACTTTAGGGGGCGGGGTCGTGATGTCATTCCCCAATAGGACAAGGCCAAGGGCGGGGCATTCTTTGGAGTGTCCAATGAGGAACGCAGCTGAAGCGGGCCTGTCAAGAGAAGGGGCTGGGGGCGGGGGGATGGTGAGTCGGGGATAAACACTCCGCGGCGGTGGCGGCTGCTGCTCAGCTCGGGTTCTGTCACGGTTTCCGCGGTGCCCAGCTCACCGATCTTCTCTCCCTCCCAGCGAGCTGGTCGCCGGAGAGGCTTCCTGAGCCCTGCTCCACGGGACCCACAGCGGGGCGAGGTGTCCGGCGGCGAGTCTGTGGGCAGTGGGGGTTGGTCCTGTGGCTCCGGCCCCCGGTGCAGAATGACGACGGCGGTTCGGATGAACATCCAGTTGCTACTTGAGGCAGCCGACTACCTGGAGCGGCGGGAGAGAGGTGCACGGGGACGGGGAGGGTCCAGCCGAGTCGGGGCCGGTCCGCGGGTCGGGACGCCCAGCCGCTCCGGGGGTTGTTGGAGGCGCGGTGAGCTCGGCCGCGAGCGCTCCCAACCCCTGCTGCCTCCCCGCGCTGTCCGAGCGGGGCAAGGGGCTGCCTCCCACTCATGAGGTCTGGGACACCAGGCCCCTCGCTACGTCCCCCGACCCCCACCTGTCCCCCGGCGCCCCGAGTTTGTCCGCACCCTCACGGGGGGCAGGTTCCACTTACACACCAACCTGCTGGACGCTGTGGATGGGAAACCCCGGCTCGGGCAGCGAGCGACCTGCTGTGTCCGCCTCAACAATGAGCAGCCAGGGCCTTACTCCTCCGGACGGAGCGAGGCACACAATTACAGCCAAACAACAAAATCGTTCACAGGATCCCACCTGGCTGCCTTTAAAGATTTTCACACTATGGCCTTACAGAAAAGACCATCCTAAGGAAGAGTCACTAGAGGGGAGAGAATATTGAATGTTCTGGGCTCATTCATTAACTGAATGCTCCGGTTTTCTAGAAGCTGAACATGGTTATGCATCCATGTTACCATACAATAGCAAGGAGAGAGATGCCTTAAAACGGAGGAACAAATCCAAGAAGAACAACAGCAGTAGCAGGTAATTTGGTAATTATTTCTCTTTCTCTTTTAGATGGTACTGTAGGGAACACACAACTGCAATGTGCAAGTTGCCTGTTGGGATTCTAGCCCTGAAAATGCATTCAGCGGCCATCAGAATTCAGTTATGCACACTTGGGCTTAAAATATTGGAGGAAGCAGCCCTTGCGTTTGGATTGAGGGGACTGAACAGACAGGAGAAATGGCAGTCTTTCACATTTCTATATGGGCACTGGTTTTGGTTTTCATTTTACCTGTTTTGTTTTCCCTGTTGGAACAAAAATCTGCAAAGCTTCAGGTGAGATGATCAGCTGTGATAATATTTGGCCTTCAGAAGTTGTAGATTCAGGGCAAGTTTTGTAGAATTGAAAAAGCTGGACGTTATTCATTTCTTTTTAAGTTGCATAGTGTACATTTGTGAACAGATGATAAGATCAGACTTGCCATAGATGGAAGGACTCATGTTTGACTTGTCAATTAAATTCAGTATTTTGCTTGAGAATCTTAACTGGTTACATCTGTGTATAATGGCAATGAGGAATTGTTGAGGTTAAAACCTATCTGTTTGGTGATGGAGGAACATAAATGTTACAGTATTAATATGTTACAACCTTTCATGTTAGCTTAATAGAGTGCCTTCTAGTTCTTAAAAGCTGTGAATCTCACTGGAAAGTAATTAGTCAGTGGTCGGAGAAATTACATATTAAAGTCCTAAGTACGTTTTCTGACACAGAAGTTCACCATCAAACCTGCTGCCCTTTCTTTCCCTCTCTGCCCTTAAAATTATAGGTGGCTAGCAAATCTGTTTCATTACCCACTTTCAGTGATCCCTTCCATACCAGTAAAATAAAATCATTCACTTTTTTCAACATTGGTTTAGAACCTCAATAAATAATTCTCTTTAATTGTATTTGGGTAGTCTCTGTGACATACTAAAGACCCTCTTGAAAGCCAGGAAGTTCCCACATCCACCTAGAAGTCCCTTGTTATTGCTGCCTTTTCTGTCCTTTTTCCATCCCACTGCCTGCATTGTTAGTGGAGCACAGGATGTATGGGCACACATGTGCTATGCTCATGAATAGGAAAGCGCATAAAGGATGAACCTGGTAATTAGCTGATGGCTTTTCCTTGCCCTCCCATCTTTAGCATTACCTGAAGGTAGCTAATAGTTCTACGCATGAGTACTAAGGCCCTTTAGTCAATACTGGCTTGTATTATGCAGTGGTATCCAAACAATTAAGCTGTGTTACATTTTGTTACTGCATTAATTAAAATTTTTTGTGTGGAAGAACTTCTGAAACTTTTGGGTTATTTTTCTGGAAAGGTATAGTTTACTTGCTTTTATTATTGTCCACTTAAAGATTTGGGAGAAGTTTGCCATGCTCATTGTCCAGGTTTGCTACTGTAACATTTTGTTTTTCCTAAATTTCACAGGGAAGTTGTGGGAGGATGAGGATACTTAGTTGAAGAAAAGTGTCTCCATCCCAGAGGGTGGGTAGGGAAGAAAAATGATGAAAATTTCAAGCCAAAATATGGATTCCCCCTTCTTTTCCTCATGTTTCCAATAATCAGCATTATTCCTGAAAAATAGCTACAACTCCTGATTTTTGACCCAAACTCGATTCTTTTCATGAACTTGGTTTGCTTTCCATGTTAGATTGTTTCCAGGGAAGCAACTGCAATTGCCCCTATTCTTGACTAATAATTAATGTGGCATTATCAATGGTGCAAGGCTCTCTGAGAGGCCATGATTAAACCTGGGGATGGGACTCCAGCAAACGGAGGCAGAAAGAGCAGTTGTTTTGTTTGAATGTGATCACTTCCTTTGTGACTTGTTTGGAATACCCCTAACCTGGTCAATGAGACTAGAGAATGCAGACAATGAGACTGCAGTCTCGCCAGAGAATGCAGCTTGACCCCTGGATTTCAATTAGACTTATATTCAGGGCTGTGCATGGTCAGAATTGTGAACTGAGGGGAGGGCGAAAACACTGCTGGTTTACAGAGCCACTGGATAACACTTTACTCTTCTTAATTCAGGCTGAATTGCTGTGCTCTTTGCTTATAGACTCTGGAGAGTATTTTTTCTTGGATTGAAATAATTAAAAAAACAACAAAACGATCTAGCCACATACCAAGCTTCTTGGGACCCAAACATGCAGATCTTAATCAAGTTGCTCTAGTTGCAGCTTTGAGAAACAAAAAAGGAAATTATGAATATTAATATTAATTGTGAATATAATATTATACTCTGAGTATTATGAGCACAGGCATATGGAATATTATTTTTCCTAATGATTTTTAGAATAAATTGCTAATTATTTAGAGTTGCTTTTCAGAGCTTTTGAAAGTATATTTTGCTAAATTAGTAAAGCGAGCGTTGGCACTCATGTGAAAGGGGAAGTCAAGACTGGCTCCCATTTCTTTTATAAACTGGGACTATAGACCTGTCTGACATGGGGAGTCTTCTGAACCCCAGGGCTTTTTCCATATGTCAGACACTCTGTAGTTTGGCTTAGTTGTCTTTTTGTTAGAATATATTTTTAAATGGTCAGATTTGACCTTTTATCAGTGATTTCAGAGTTACCAAATCTTCTCAATAATCAAACAGAAAATAGTTTTGACACAAAGTATCTATGTGTTCTTCTAATGCTTCAACTTAAAAATAGAAATGTTTACCCATCAACAGAGGGGGCAGGCTGTGCCTGAATTGACCATTTTTGAAGGCTGACTCTTTATGAAAGATGCAATTTCATTAACCAAATGCACTTCATTAATATCCATTAGGAATAACACCATCCCCTTAAAAATCGCCCTATGTTCAATGCTCCCACTAACCAAATAAGAACTGTCATTTCCAGAACTATGTTCAAAGCTTCCTATGGAATTTGTTCGAAACTTATCTGGGGGATTTAGCATAATATATATTGTTGTTGCTGTTAAATGCTGTTGAGTCAATTCCAACTCATAGCGATCCTGTATAGGGTTTCCACAGAGCGGCTGGTGAGTTTGAACCGCTGACCTTGTGATTCAAATGAACCTTGTGGTTCAATGCTTTATCCCACAGTACCACACCAGGACTCCAAATATATATATATATATATATATATATATATATATATGTGTGTGTGTGTGTGTGTGTATGTATATATGTATGTATATATATGCATATATAAATATATTCAATCAGAGAATCCTGACACTTTTGGTAAGAGTAACCTGCATGTTGTTGTTTCTACTGCCAGAGCCCATGGTCATTTCAACCCAGCCACCTTCTTCCCTTACTTCTCCCACTTTGTTAAACAGGGAAATCTTGCCCAGCTGTGGTCATATACTTTCATCCATTTAAAAAATCTGTCAGACTTTGAACTTATTGCTCCCTGTTGAAACAAAAATGCAGACCAGATTTTTGTTAGTGTGGCATCTTGCTGGCCACTGTAAGCAGTAAACCCTTAGAAAAATGTGACGGAAGAACACTGAGGAAAGGGGCGGGGAGTACCCTGGGGATTCAATTTAAAGCTTTTAAGTTAAACAATTTAAGGTTCACATAGCCTTTATCTGTTGTTAAGTGCCATTGAGCCATTTCTAAATCACAGTGGCCACATTTATTTAGGGTTTCTGAGGCTGTAAATCTTCATGGGAGCAGAAAACCTTATCTTTTTCCTGCAGAGTGGCTGGTGGATTCAAACCACCACCCTTATGGTTCACAGTCCAGTGCTTATCCTACAGAGCCACTGCGCTGCCATCCTTTATCAAGAAAACCAATATTCTAAAATTTAAAATACTGTCACTGTTTTCTTGTTTTAACCCCTCCTGAATAAAAATTGATATCCCAAGAGCTTGTGGATGGTCTAGTGTTGGGTTGAAATTTTTTGATTTCAAGGTTTCCCCTGCCCCACCACCACTCCAGTCCTTGGTGTGAATGGATTTGGTGGTGGTGGTGGTGGTTATGTGCCATGGAGTCGGTTCTGACTCATAGCGACCCCATATAGGGTTTCTGAGGCTGTAAATCTTTATGGGAGCAGACAGCCTCATCTTTCTCCCGAGGAACATCTGGTAGTTTTCGAACTGCTGACCTTGATGTTAGTAGCCCAACTCGTAACCACTATGCTACCAGAGCTCCTCGGATTTGGTGGTGGTGCCCCTCAATATAAGTGAGTGACTGAGCATTCATGAGGTAATGTTCCTCCTTGAGTGCTATGAGAATTTACCTTCTTCACCCAGGAAGGTACAGATGGCCCCACTGAATTCATGACTGGAGCCAGGAGTAAGTCAGGGAGGAAGAAATGAACCATCACCAAGTTCATTTCCTTGTATAAGAAAGGTCAAGATTCAGCTCCCTTATAATGCTGGGAGGTTCCTCAAGCTCCCCAAGTTTCTTTATAACTGTGCGAAGAAGGACACTGTCGTGGCTGTATTGACTGACTTCTTGTGATTTTTATGGAAGCCTGTCTGTGAGCTCTTAAACCAGACCTTAGATTCAAGGTCAGCTATAAACACAGTAATCATATGATTTCAGATCCTCCACAGCTTTCATCCATGGCTCTCTAATTACTTTTACAGTTGTTTCCTCATTGATCCACGCTTGTTCAGCAGATAATTGACAATAATTTTTATCCCCATCTTTACAGAGGGGTTAACCAAGGACGTTATGGTAACGAGTTTGATTTCTTCTATGGTACTAGTCAGTGACAAAACTCACGTTTCAAATTTTCCTCTAACTGCCGCTTCAACTGGTCATTACGTTGAGCTGAGTTGTAGAAACTGTTTTCTAATACCATTTGGTAGCTACTCAATAGTAGCATCTTTCAAGAGAGTGTACATAAGAAGGTAGCTATTTTAGGGAGTAGAAAGGTTGAGGGAGAGGTTATTTTACCCATTTCCAACTGTATCCTGTAGTTAAACAACTTAGCATAAAATTGTAGTATGCTATGCTTAGAAACCAGTGCAGAGCTAGAATGGGGTGCCACCTCCACAAGTCTGCCTTCGGCTTTGTGGTATTATGTAACCCCAGATCACATCAGATTGTGCAGCTGTATTTCTCTTTGTATAAATAGACCCCTTTTTTTTTCCTGTCATAAAATGGATACCTTTTCCAGTAGGGACTGCATGCTGCTTAGTTTGTTATTCTTTAAATACTGTTTTGATAGTGGACTAATTTTTTCAGTAGAGCCCAGTTAAGTTTCTCTTCCTTTCTCTGTCTTCTCTCTTACCAACTTTGGAAAGTAAGAAGTTAAAATGATTGTGTTGATGTTGAAGTAGTCTTTCAAGACAAGAGTAACCTTTTTCTTACCATTTCCTCTTTCAGATCTACTCACAATGAAATGGAGAAGAATAGGTGAGTTGGGGATTTGGGTGGTGGAATAGGGGAGAGGGGTTTGATGCATTTTCTATTCATTGAGACTTGGTTGCTCCTCTTCCCACTAAAACTCCTATTGTAAGAGAGCCTCAAAAGAGTACTGTTCATAACTCACTTATCCCCCAGCCCACTCCTCCTGAGGAATGCTTTTCTGTGACTGTTCCCACTGGCCAAAACATTATAGACCATAGGTAGTGTTTCAAAAGACATTTTTTTTTTTTTTTTTAATCACATGCTACTGAATGTAATTGGCAGTGTTCTTTTAGTCACACACTCAGCAGAGGGGGCTTCAAAAAGTCTGTGGAAAGAAATGTGGATTTAAAAAATAATGGAATTTTTCCAGGAACTGTTTTTTAAAGTCCCCTTGTATATACATAAAGAGACCTGGTGGTGCTTCTGAATAAGCATTAGGTTGCTCACCACAAGGTTGGCAGTTCAAACCCATTCATCTGCTTTACAGAAGAATGATGAGGCTGTATGTTCACCTAAACAGTTACAGTCTTGAAAGCTGTATATAAGATCGATAATGAGTCAGAATCGATTCCATGGCAGTGGGTTTTGTGTGTGTGTGTGTATTGTTGTTGAGTTCCGTAGAGTTGGTTCTGGCTCATAGTGACCCTGTATTGGGTTTTCAAGGGCAGTTGGTGGCTTTGAGCTTCTGGCCTTAGGATTAGCAGTCTAATTCTTAGCCTAGAGCACCACACCAGGACCCATTTATACACACACAAACACTTGTAGATATACACATAGATATAGGTAAAGTTGTGTGTGTGCTCACATTTACCTCTAAATGTGGATTCTCAAAATTCAGGCAGATGCATGTTAGACAGAATTGGAGATGGTGACTGGCTGGCTGGAGGAGGCCTGTCATACTCCCTGGGTTGGCTCTCACTGCTGGCCTGAGTTGGATCTGCCTCACCTAGACTGCCCCTTACTGCTTATTGGGGTCTTTATTTTCCTCCTTTAGTCATGAAGTCTAGTGGGCCTCAGCACTAGTTATACGTTAGATGCACTAACAGAGCTTTCATTTGAATGCGTTTCTTAAACTGTTTTGTACTAAATGCATCATACACACATTTTGGTGGGGGGAAGAGAACATATGTTTATTTCTGCCCTTGTATAAAGTAACTTTTTTATGACAGAAAATTTCAAATATACCAAAGTAGAATAATGTAGTCAACTCTTTATGTATCTATCTCGCAACTACAACAATGACCAACGCATTGCCAGTCGTGTATAACTGAATCCATTCCTCTCCAGTGTTTAAAATTGTAAAGCAAATTCCACATATATTATCTGTAAATACTTTTATTTCTGTCTCTAACAGATAGACTTAAAGAAAAAAACAGACAAAAAAAACATAACCTACATTTACTTTGATGAACAAGATTAATGTTAACTCTGTGGAACTTAAGAGGAAAAAAAAAAAAAAAGCCCAGACCTCTCACCTCCAGAAATTCTGACTTACTTGGTTTGGACTGAGCCTGTGCACTAATATTTTTTTAAAGCTCCCCAGCTGATTCTAACATGCAGCCCGGGCTTAGAACCACTAACTAAGCCTCATTCTGGTCTCTTTGCTTCCATCAATTTGAAATATCATTTACCATCTAGAGTGAGTAGGGTCTGCACATTCTGTATGAATAAGAAGATGATATGTAATGATGACTTTGTAAACATGTGTGGTTGTTCCATTCAAACCCTTTTAGGAAAAGATAGTCTGACTATGAAAGTCAGGATCTGAATGTTTGTTTCATCAGTAATAGGGCAGAGTAGACCCATACCAATCAGGAAGATAGTGGAACAGGGTGAACATTTAGCTTGCTCTATTTGGGGTGGGTGGTGGTAGTGGGGTGTGTGGGTGTGTGTGTGTGTGAGAGAGAGAGAGAGAATGAATTTCATGTGTTCAGTGCTGGATTGCACGTCAACACAGTTTCTATTCTAGAGAAGCGAGAAAGATGTAGTTATTACACCAAGTGCAAAGATAGAGGAAGTACAGTATGCTATGAAAACGAGACGCTAGAAAACTGGATTTGAAGCCACTTCTGAGCAAGCTACTTATAATATTAGCAGTTTGCTTCCAGAGACCAGTCAAGTTTTACTTGTTGAAGTTATCTAGTTTCCTTATTGTCCTTTCTTTATAGTTTTCTCAGGGCTTGATGACTCTTCCTCTAGTCTTGAGCATATGAAACAGAAGAGAAGGAAGTAGGAACTCAAATTACTTAATTTAGACAAGCAGTGGAGTCCTGGCTTGGCATTGTAGGATAAGCACTGGACTGTTAACCACATAGTCAGCAGTTCAAACCCATCAGCTGCTTCTCAGAAACCAGAACTTAACAGCAACACAACAAAGCCAAGATGTGGTTACTGTTGTTTGGAGGAGGAGGAGGCTACAGTCATGAGACTCTTCTCTGTTAATGCGGGGCAGGGGGAGGCATGGGATGTTAGGGCTGTGAAGTCAGGTGAACGGCTGTTCTCCCAGTTTTGGGTAGCTGAAAAGACTCTTTAAAGAATACTGCTTTCCCAAATGTTAATACAGTCTAACCATTTTTACCTTTTTCTTTTTAAAAGACCATTTAGGAAAACAACGGGATTTTTTTTTTTTCTTCTTCTCTCTTTGATATTGCAAAATTATTTACCCTTGATCGAGTCTTTTGAAACCGAAGCCTTTCTGTGGGATTTTTAGAGATTCTAAATTCTGTCCTTGGTATGCTAGTCTCTCAGGAGTGGCTGAGTCTGTTTCGTTCAGCCCTGCCACTTTTCATGATCTCGGCATGGGTGGGGAGATGAAAGAAAAGACTTCTAGGATGAGGTGGTAGGAGTAGGTGGTGGTAGTGTGGTGTTTTCTGTTTAGGGAAGTGTCTGTTCAGCACCTGAAATGCCAGGCACTTAGTGCTGGGAATACAGAGAGAAAGACCGAACCCCTGTCTTGGAGGAGCTTGGTTTAATGTCACTTTGAGTGGCCTCTCAGGTGGCACTTGGAATGCCCTTCTCTAAATTTTAACTAATTTTATAGGTCTAGCCTCCTAAGAAAACATCCTTGTTGACTGTGTGGTTTTTCTATTTCATTCTTTGAAACTGATCTTGTAGAAAATTTTGAAAAATATAGCAAGTTATGCTAAAAAAATCCAGTAACCAGAGAAAAACCAATGGAACTTTGATACTAATCTTTCTGGTTGTTTCTGGAAAATTGTGTAGTGTAGAAAATGAAAAAGTTCTAAAAAGCACAAAGAATATAAAAATCACTGGTAATAGACCTCATAGAAGAACCACTAATAACATTTGTTCTATATACATCTAGTGTTTGGTGCATGCTTTTTTTGTGTGCCAGCGTAAGATCATTACAGTAAATAATTTGCAGCTTGCTTTTTCACAAGCTACATCATAAACATTTTCCAATGCCATTAAATCTTCTCTAGCATTGTTTTTAATGAATGATCAGTATTACCCAGATATATCATAAGTCGTGTAAGTGATCCCCTAGTTCAGGTTCTTACCAGTGATTGGTTAATGTAAACAATGCTACCTTAAACCACCTTGTAGATAAGCTCTTGTCCAACATGATCATTCATAGCTATGGAATTAATGGTATATGTGTTTTCATGTTTTGTTTTCTTATGTTGATTGCTGAATTGCTCACCAGCTAGGTTGTAGACAGTGTTTTCCTTTATACCTTCATGAGTTGACATTAAAATGTTAAGATCTTTATGAATTTGTTAAGTTAAAAAAAAAGACAACTTATTTTAATTTGCCTTTCTTTTCTGACTCGCTACTTGCCCACTTGAACAGTGTGCCGATTGTTATTTGTGCGTGTGTGTGTATATATGAATTGTCTGTTAAACAGTCTGTGCCCATTTAGATAAATTACTGAGTAGTTTCTCTTTTCTTTATTTTGAAAAGACTGTAATGTAAATGATACATCTGAAAGATCTTTCTTTGTCTATCACATAGTTTCCCAGTTAATCATTTACCATGATGGAATTAGTCTTCTCTTACTGATTGACGTGGCTGCCTTTCTCATATACTAATTCTTGTTGATGGCTTTAGTGTGTTTCAGGACTTGTTCTTCCAGTCTGTTGATCTGTCTGCTCTTCCTGTGCCAAAATAAACCAAAAAACCCCAAATCCATTGCTGTTGAGTAGAATCCAACTCATAGCGATCCTCTAAGACCGAATAGAACTGCTCCATAGGGTTTCCAAAGCTCTGGTAGCGTAGTGGTTATGAATCAGGCTGTGAACCTCAGGGTCAGCAGTTCGAAACTACCAGCTGTTCCATGGAAGAAAGATGAGGCTTTCTGCTCCCAGAAAGATTTACATCCTCAGAAACCGTGTACAGGGTCACTATGAGTCAGAACCGACTCCACAGCACATAACAACAACAACAACAATCTTTGCAGAAGCAGACTGCCACATTTTTCTCCAGTGGAGCTGAGCACCTGGTGAGTTTGAACCACCAATTTTTCAGTTGGCAGCCAACCGCCAACTAGGGCTCTTATGCTGATATGCATTGTCTTAGTCATTGAGGTTTTATCCTGCACTTCAGAACCTGGTAAAGCAAACCTCTCCTCTTCCTTTCATTCTTCTTCTTAAATTTTACTATGTTAGCTGTTTTCACCAATTTATTTTTTCCAGATGAATTTTATTGTCAACTCATAAATGTCCCACCCCCAAGTTCCTTTGGTATTTCTAAAAAAAATTGCACAATTCTAATGTAAACAGATCGGAAAAAGTTTGTGTGTATATATCATATCTTTCCACCCAGGATTTGGTATGCATCTTCATTGATTCCGATCTCTTTTCTGTCTCTGAGCAAAGTTTTGTAGTGTTTCCATGTAGGCCTTGCACATTTCAGGATTTTTATTTTAATTGCTACTGGTTTTCCACTGTTGTTACTAATTACCATTGGGATACAGAAATATTTTGTTGTTGCTAATGCATCCTTTACTGATAATTCTGCTGTTTCTTTTTTTTTTTTAGTTGGAA